TATTTTAAAAAATATACTTATTTGTTTTAAATATGTCATTATTAGTCATTTAATGTTAAATAACAACCGCTAACCATTGTATAGCCAAACAGTTATATTTATTGAATCCGCTATTTACCATCTATTACCCACTTTCCGCTATCCGCTAACCGCCACCCGCTACCTGCTACCACTATCAGCTATCCGCTACCTGCTATCCGTTATCTACTGAATTTTAACCGCTATACCAAACAGGCCCTTAATTCATTAAGTTTGTCCATCTATACACATTTTTAATCTTTAAACTTATAAATTTAAGGATTAAAATTATACATATTTATATAAATTTGACAAACAAATTGACAGAAAGACAAAAAAATATTCATTTTTCAAAGTTGAGAAACAATAAAAATTCAAAAAATGGTTAAGGGATAAAATTTGTTCAAAATTAAAATTTAATGGACTAAATTTAGCATTTAACTAAAAGTAAGCCAACTATAGTTGAATGGAGGAATACTACATGTAAGTCATTAATCACAAAAATATCTTAAGAGTTTGTTTATAAGGGCATATGATAAGAAGTTATTATTAAGTAATAAATATAACTATTCTTTTTTAAAAAAAGTAAAATTTTATATTAAAAAAATAACTTCTGATTTTTAATTTAAAATTAACCAATAAAAATCTAACACATGACATTTACAATTAAAATAAAAAGTTCATTTTTTCAAATACAAAAAGTGAATTCTTACATAATCAATACTCCTTATTCTATACTCTTATGGCACAAGTAGATAAACCCATATCTTAGATTTTTTATTTTTTATCTTTAATCAAACTGTTACTAATAAAAAAAAAAAAAGGCTATGAAATTGGTTTTCCTTCCTCACTAGCTACACTACAATAAAACTATAAAATAAAAAATTCATAGATATTCAAAAGCTTTTTGAATAAAGTAAAATAAAAGACCAACAATTTCTAATTAGAATTTAAAAATGACATTAATTGATATACACTCCAGTTCAACACACTAACATAACATACTTATTAAAAAATCACAATTTCCTAGTTTGAAATTAAAAACAAACAAATTTAAATATTCAATTATGCACACAGGATGAAGAAACTGGCAACATCAATTGTGCCTATATTATATTTTAATAACTAAATTAGGACAAGTGTTAGAAAGCATGTTAAATCGAGTGTGTACCAATCATTTTTTATTAAAAAAATACCAATTTATTGGGATACCATGTATTTCAAATTTCAATCATTACTATGCCATCCAAAATTTAAAACCTAATTGCTCAAGTTTCAACTACTCAAAAATTTTAATTTTCGGACTTAAAAGTTATAATTTTATATGTTTGAGGGTTTAATCATTAATTTAACATCATGAATTTCTTTTTATTTTGTCTTCTAGTGGCATGTACTACTTATAACTAAAAAATTATATAAATTTACATGAAATTATTTAAATACATTATTTCAATCAATCAAAATTCCCTCAAACCCCAAATTATTTACAAAATTGTCACATTTAATTTTCTAAAGAGATAAAGGAATAAAGAAGAGAGAGAAAAGAAGAATAAATATTGACTCTATCATTCTTATTACTCTTTGGATTGGGTTTTCAAAATCAAAATTACCTCAAAACAAATAAAAATTACAAAAAAAAGTCATTTCTCAAAACCATTAGAGAGAGACAAACATATGCAAAGAGATAAAGGAGGGTGTAAATAGTACACTACCCTCCTTATTATTCTTAAGTTTAGTATTATGAAACTCGCTTGTAGATTGGTTGGAGACATTTATCTCTTAAAAGAAGAAAAAAGTTGTTATTAAAAGAGTTTTTTATTCTACAGTATGAATTGAAAAACAAGAACTATTGAATGGTGATGAACCCAATATCAAAGGATTTAACCTCATCCAATGGTTTTTATGTTGTGTAGTCTACATAATTTGAATTGTAAAATATTTTTTTATTATTACAAAAAGATAGTAATAAAATAAGCAAAAAATGTTTAACAAGTTGGATTCCACATCAAAAATGCAGTCTAGGTATTGAAATTACTAAAATGTGCTTCGTGAAGTTGTTTTTTATGTTATTTCATTAATGATAATGTCACGCCCCATAACCCAAATCGGGGGATGTGGCAGACGCCGTGCACTCATAAGAGGGTCCCACAAATGCACAAGGCTCAGAACTTATCCAATTCACATCTGACAATCCAATAACTTAGATAAGATATTTCAAAATTAATTCTATGTCCAACATGACTTAAACTCAAAATCTCAAGGTCAAATCTCTTGTAAACTACTAATCCATTAAATGAAGTTATAAAATCTCCAATTACAATCTAGCTTACAAGATCCTGATCTATATTTAAAATTTATGTTCAATTTACAAGATGGCTAGCCTTCTAACTCGTCACTCCCCTCATTTTTTCCTGTCCTTGTCTTCGCTTCCTGAAATGGTGGACAAGGAAAAACTATGAGATAACTCAGTAAATAAATATGGATAGCCCTTGGGTAAAATTTTAGCATGCCTGATAAACAGTTGAACATAACAAAACGTTCAATGATAAACCGTTAATGCAGAATCAAATTCAGTTCAATAGCAAAGCGTTCAATGACAAACCATTAATGCAGAATCAGATTCAATTCAATAGCAAAGCGTTCAATGACAAACCATTAATGCAGAATCAGATTCAATTCAATAGCAAAGCGTTCAATGACAAACCATTAATGCAGAAGAAAATTCAATAGTAGTCTCATCTATAAGTCATGGCCAGTGTTTAACAAACTCCCACTGGCAAACGTCAATAATCACCAATGTTTAACAAACTCCCACTGGCAGGCGTCAGTAAGTACCAATGTATTTGCCCATTAGCAAGTGTCAGTAATTACCAGTGTTTAACAAACTCCCACTGACAGGCGTCAGTAATTACCAATGTATCATCCCATTGGAAGGATTACAGAGTGAACCGGTCATATCAGTAAACATGTCGACATGTGCCAACATTTGCAAATTCCCACTGGCGGGCATCAGTAATCATGACTATATCAGAGACGACCATCCAGGATTTACAGAAAAATTCGTAATTCACAATCAATCTCAAATTTCAGAAATAAACCGAAAAATTTCCATGTGAACATGGATTTAACAGAAAACTCAAAATTTACAAAATTCTCAGTTCATCAAGGCAGTTCAGTCAATTCCAAATAGGCATACTCTACTCAATGCAAATGAAAACAATTTCATTTCAAACCAATCATGCTCGATGCAAATAAAATCAATTTAAACCTTGCCACCATTTCAAAAACAATTTAAAACATGCTTTGAAATCAAAGGGCTTTACCATAATTTACTTAGCTCACTTCGCATAAAACAGGAAACTTAACCCCCAAGCTCTAAGCCACAACAGCACCTACTATTCCAAATAAATATGTTCAGGCCTTTCTAGAATTACCAGCACAAAATAGCAATTTATTAACCAACTGCTAATGGACAGAAGCAGATCAAATATCTGGACAAGAAATGGGGGAAACAGGACTTTCATTTCAATTATTGATTTAATCGTACGCAACACACATATATATCTATTTTTTTGATCTCCCGGACAAGCAACGAAGAAACACGACTTGACAAAATAGTAACTAAGTTAGGAAATCTCCATATAAAACCGAACCTCACAGTAGAAATTCAAGTAATTTCTACCTCAACCAAGCTTAAAACAGGTTTTATGCTACCCAAAATTATCCCATAATTCTAGCACAATCTCGGACAACACAAAGCAACTAAATGGACAATAATTAATTGATAATTTGGACTTAAAAAGGCTGTCCATACCAGAATTCTAGCAAGCAGAAACTAAACTTGCTGGGTGGATGCTGGCGGGATTTTGGGCAAGAAGCTCATGGGCCTACCTCAAAATTGAGGGAAATAAAAAAAAGAAATTAGAATAACCCAACTTGAATCAAGGCTAGAAAGACGAATTCTTGGCTATTTCTTACCAGAAAACCTGAAAATTTCGCCACCCACCCACCGACAATTGATGGACAGCAAAGGGAGGAAGACGCAGAGCAGAACAGATCTGGAAATATCTGGGTTTAGAGAGAGTTCTAAGCCCTAAATCTTGTTCTTAAACAAGAAAAAAGGAGAAAAATAGAAAGCTTTTGCCAATTCCTCAAGAGAGGACTGTCGGTAGCTTGGGGGGGCTTGTCGGGGAGAAAAGAAAAAGAGCAGGTCACGAGTAGGGATGTCAATGGGGCCCGCAAGGTCGGAGAGTGCCTCCTCGTCCTGGTCCCCGCGAATGGCGGGACAAGGATCCCCACGGGGATTTTTGACGGGGGGCAGATTTTACCTCGTTCCCGTTCTGCACGGGATCCCATTCCCAACCAATTAATAACAAAGTATATATTTTTTGCATCAAACATAAATAAAAATTAATTTAACACAAATAATTAAATCAATAAAATTGTTTCAAATAGAGATTAATCCAACATAAAGCAACATGTTCCAAACATAAGTTGTTCCAAATATACATAGAAATTAATCCAACATAAAGTAACATACTTGTTCTAAATATAGGCAAAAATCAACCCAACATAAATAAAATAACTAAACTAAACCAACATTCAACATGAAGGGAAGCAACCAAGAACCAACTCAAAACACTTTAACTCTCAAAATCCACAATTGCTCATAGAAAGACCTACAATACAATTAGTAAATACTTTATGTTAACATATTTATAAAAAAGTTGTTTATATCATTAGTATAAAAAAGGATCATGCATATTTACCTCTGAATTATTGTCTTCATCACAATCCACATCCTCATTTTGAGTAAAGAAACATATATCATCCAAAGAACCTATTTCAAATATGAAAATTTAAATTAAAAATTAACTACTTAATTAAAGAACAAAAAAAATAAAAGAAACATAAACTACTTAAGCCTGATATTATTAGTTGGTCTGACCAAGAAACTGAGTTGGGGTTGTGGGTTTTGATGATTTTAGATTAAAAATTGCTATATATATGTATCAACATTTGGTAACTTGGAAGTATGTCGTTGCCCCCCTCCCTTCCAAAAAAAGAAACAAATAAATCGATCCTTGAGCAACAAGCTCATGATTGTCTCTTTAGAGTTTTCAAATTCAAAATTCCAATTTTGTAAAACACCAATCTCAAGCTTTAACGATAGTAATAGTAATTACAAATTGTTAAAAAAAAAAAAATTCAAGGAGGGGGTGGTAAACAGTATTAAACGTCTAATTGATGCAATCTATCTGTATTAGATTGCTGGACATTTTTTTAGTTTCAAGTCATCTAGATTTTCTGTATGAGAAGTATGTATATATTTTGAAACAATTTTTTTTATAGCCAACAGTTAATATTTATTTATCATTAGAAAATATAGTCTTCATACAAGATAGTTCGAAATACAAAACTTGCAGAGACAATTAAAACATAAAGTTCAATTGCTAAGAGCAGCTTAACAGATTACAGATGAAGAATGGAGAAAGGAAAGGGCGTGGATGTCACGTAGAATTGTATTTTATTGACAAAATGAACTGTACTGTCCTTGTGGGTGTTGGTAAAATTAGGAGGAAAAAGGATGAACATCTCAGTTGTAGCTGTGTGTGTTTTGTGTGTAGTTTTGATGTTTGGTTTCACATAATGAAAGAATTAAGATTCAATGCTAGAGAAAATTATTGTAAAGGATTGTCTAAAGATGGTTAGATTCACTTTTAAATCTAGTAAATTCTAAAAAATTCAAAGTTTCTCTATGTTAATTCAACCATAATCAAATTATTAAACTTCTTACCGTTGGATGCAGCACAGGCAGTAAGCAGAGAGGGAGTCCAGCACAAGCAGCAAGCAGAGGGTCCAGCACAGGCAGCAAGCAGAAGGTCCGGCACAAGAGGCAACAAGCACAGGGTCTGGCATAGAAGGCAACAAGCACAGGAGGCAGCAAGCACAGGGTCCGGCACAGGAGGCAGCAAGCACAGGAGGTAGCAAGCAGATCGGGTCCGGCACAGAAGGCAGCAAGCACAGGAGGCAGCAAGCAGCTCCAACAGCAGACCTGTAGGTTGTAGTAGATCTGTAGCAGCAAGAAGGGGTTGTGGTTGAAACTAGGAGTGAGTGAGGGGTTGTGGCTGCGTGCGTGGGTGAGGAGAAGAGGAGAAATGAATAAAGTTATGAAATTAGGGTTGGAAGGGGGATTAATTAGGGTTGTGGCCGGTTGGGTTGAATTAGGATACTTGGGTTGGATTGAATTGGGTTGGGTTGGGTTGAGTTGGGTAAAATTTAATTTGTATTGAATTGGGTTTGGGTTAGGTTTGAATTTTATTTTAAATATTAAATTAAATTTAAATTATTTTTCTTTAATTTTCGTGGGGATGGGGATCCCCGCAGGGCCCTGCGAGGATCGGGGGAAATTGCCACCCCTAGTCGCGAGCCTGATGAGGAAGAAAAGAAAGAAAGAAAAAAGAAAAAGAAAAAGCAACTGATCCTTATCTCATTTTCTTTCTTTTAAGTCTCTCAAGTTTGGAGTTTTTAACTATTAGGCCCCAAAATAATATTTCTCTCAAAATAAGTCCCCTAACTTAATTGATAAAATTCCCAAAAATTTGGGATATTACAGATAATTTAGTAATTTTAGTATCTAGATTACATTTTTAGTATCCAATTCAACCTGTAAAACATGAATATATCTAAATCAAATACACAAAAATGTAATACTAAATAATTAGCTTATAAATATTTTAATATGTTTAACAGATTTTTTAATATTTTGTAATAAAAATTTGTGAAATTGAAATTATTCATACCAAACTTAATTTATTTGATTTAAAATATAATTAGTTTTAAGATCAAACTAAATTTTTTTTCACACAAATCTTACTATATTATAAAAATTGTAAAATCGGTAATAAATCTTAAAAATTACTCTTGTGTTCCAGTATTCTTCCCAACATTCATATTTTCCATTGATTTTATTATGTTGCAGTTCTTGAGATTCTTACATGTCTTTTGATGGGTCCAGCTTTTAACTCTTGTTAATTGCTAAAATCTGTCTCTTGATTCCAATTGTTTTGTTAAACATGATCTTATTGGCTAACCTTGTTGTGGCAAAATGTATAAGGCATCCATGCACTCGTTCATTCATTTATGATCCATATATCCATTGGATGCTTATCCGTCTTTGATAGACTTCAAGTTTTGTTGTACTCGTCTTTAAATCCATGCCATTCTTTGCCAACTCGTCTTGTGTTGGGTTCGTAGCGTAACCCCACAATTGTTCTTTTGTGGCTTTGGCAGGATTTATTTTTATTCCTTGTGCTTCTCGTATCACCCCAGCCTCTAGTGGCTCATCTCATGGTAAACCCTGTTAAGTAGCTAGTGTCCTGCTTTTATGGTTAGCTGTGGGTTGATATCAGAGTGGCGTAGCGGAAGCGTAATAGGCCGTGTTCTGTTCCTAGAAAGTGATGAGGCGATTGTTTTGTCTTGGATTGTGTGAAACCATTCACCACTCGAAATGATCCCCAATTCGAGTTTTGGGGACAAAACTCCTTTTTAGGAGGGGTGGATGTAATACCCCAAAATTTTGTGCTATTTTAGCATTTAAGTAAGGGTTTTTGTGTGAGAAAAATATTGTTTTGGGCTTAATAGCCAACATTCTGAAAGCTGAGGGACGTAAAAGTGGAAAAGTTTTGGATAAGGATCAACTTCTTTCCTTTTTCTTTTTTCTTTCTTTCTTTTCTTCCCAGCCATTCCCGATTCTGCTCTTCTTCTTCTCGTTGCAGCCACCCGAAGAAAAAAAAAAGGGAAACCCAGCCATGCCTTGGAAAATTGGTGAGAAAGCTTGGAATTTCTCCTTCTTTCTTGTCCAAGAACCTGATTTGGAACCCAGAAATCTTTCCCCTTGCTGGAAAATCCGGATCTGCCCTGCTTTGCTCTGTCCTTCCGCCGGCTGCTCCTGCTTTGTGGGGGTGATTTGCTCCGGTTTTGGGTAAGAAACAGCTACCAATCCCTCTGTTCTTGCTTGAATTAACTTGGGTCTACCTTAATTGCTCTTGGGTTCCTTTAATTTTGGGTAGATCCGTGAATTTCTCCCCTGCACTTGCCGCCGGCCTCTTCCCCAATCTGCTAGCTCCGGTTCCTTGCTTGTAAATTCTGGTATGTGACAGCCTTTTAAGGCTTAAATTATCCATTTAAAGTTGCTGCTTGTGATGTCCGAATTTGGCTAGGAAATGGGGAAATTCCGGTAGCCTTTGAGCATGCTTTAAGCTTGGTTTAAGTGTAAATTAGCTTGATTTAGATTGTTGTGTGATTTTTGGAGAAAATCCCGTGAATTAGTTAGTGTTTTGGCCAATTTTGGAAGTAGAGTTACTGTTCACGTCGGGTACTGTTCACCGGCACTGTTCACAGGCTACTGTTCACACCCCGAGGGCCAACAATTAATGGGGATTTAAATGATTAGTTTGTGATATGAGAACGAATTTGGAGATATTTGATTATGTGGAGATTAATAGGAATTAGTATCGTGATTAAGGAGTCTTAATGATGATTTCAGTTTGAATTTATGATTGTGCGATAATTAATTATTGGGTATCTTGATTAGGTTCTTGATCGTTCTGTCAGTTAGCATTGAGATTAAGTGCTCGGTTTAATACAAGTGAGGTAAGTAAATTTATGGTAATGCCTGTACTGTTTTTAAAAGCATGTTTTGATTTGTTTTTGAAGTGGTGGCGGGACTAAACCCGTTTTACACGAGCATGACTGATTTGAAGTGAAAGGTCTTATGCTTTTCATTAAATTGAGCATGCCTACTTGAAATTTAATGATTGTCCTGATGATCTGAAAGTAATTGGTAAATTATGTTTTTCTATTAACTTCAGCCTGTTTTGTCTCCGATGTGGTTATGTTCTTGTAACCCTGCTAGTGGGGGTTAAACGCTAGCACATGTCGGCACATGTTGATATGTTCCTGTTAGAACCGGTTCATTCCTGTAATCCTGCTAGTGGGAGTTAAACACTAGTAATTCCTGTTGCCTGCCAGTGGGAGGTTTAAACACTGGCCATGACCTATAGAGGAGATGTCTATTTTGTTCCCGCACTGTATCCGTTTTTCGTGATTGTACTTGTTGGCATGCTATAAGTTTAATAAGGGCACTCCATATTTTACTTACTGAGTTTATCTCATAGTTTTTCCTTGTCCACCATTTCAGGAAGCGAAACTGAGGACGGGGAAACCACGGGAAGTGACTAGTTAAAAGGCTAGCCATTTCG